TTTTTTTTAATTTTGTTTTAAACAACTTTGAAACTTTTTCATAAAATCTCACCAAATCCACCGCGTTGAGTGCAAATGTATAGGCAACGAAACAGCACTTACCTATAGAAACTAGTCTGATGTGTTCCCTCTCTAGAAACTCCAGCGCGACAGACACATTCTCCAGCTTCATCTGCCTGAAATTGGGTCTGGCGTGGTACTTTCTGTACATTTTCTTCTGGCTGAGAACTTCCAGGAGCCCGATAAGCTTGAGCCCATCGCTCAAGTCCTTCTGCAGGTCGTTGATCTTTTTGTTGACGCATTTCAGGTGTTCGTTGCACCACCTGGTGAAGGTGTTCTGCTGGATCTTCTTCCAGGGCGCATCCTCCGCCAGGTCCTTCTCCGTGGCGGGCATCTCCTCGTCTCCGTCCTCGCCGTTGTCGGTGCCCTGGTAATACTGCGGCGGCAGCTGCTGGTCGTAGTATGTATTATTGCTCATCATGTTTTTTTTTTTTCCCCCTCGACGTTCTCGTGCACCCCTCTTAACGTTATACGACAATCTGTTGGACTTTTACAGCGCGAGGGGGAGTGGGAAAGGGGGGGAAAGAAAAGAAAAGAAAACGGAAGAAAGTTGGAAGCGCTTGCGAAAAAAAGCAGGAACCAATTCGAAACACTTCCTAAGGACGAACGAGTGCAAAGCAAATTAATTTGCGCTATTTCCGTTCAATTCTAAATTATAGCGTACTTTTTTTAGACCGCCGTTAAAGAAAGTTCGTTCCTGCTTTGATTTGCATTAAACTTTTCTGAAATTAAAGGAAAGACGGGAAAACAGACGCGGCTTCGTATATAGCCTACTTGAATGGTTAGGCTAAATGAAGCATGAGGCGCTTTAAAAATCTGAGACCCCTCCGGCAGGGCTCACACGTCAGTCTGCAGGATCTCCTGGTATGCTGCTGTCATCATGACCATATACAACAGCGCGATGGGTGATTCTCTAATCTGACCGAGATAGTGAGACCGGCGCCCGATTGGGCGAAGCGCGCGGCGGGGAAGGGGATTGGACAGACCCCGAGCGCCGCGACAGTTGTGACTGTCCTTTCTATTTTTAGGAACCCCAAATTGGGCACTGGGGGGCTGGAGTTGCGCTTGTTGTAAAACTTGGGCTCTCTTTTAACAATTGGGACTGGAAAAAGCAACTGACAGCATAATTAAGTCTGTGAGATATTTTAACAGGGTGCTAAATATGAAAGCATAGGCTACTGAAGAAAAGGAATGACAAACTGTTTATTAATAAGTAATAAATAGTAGCCTGGGAGAGTTTATTTATAAACAATATTTAGGCCCCCAACTGACAAAACTCTATTCCAGTCAATGAAGTCACACTGTAAAACAGTTTTGTTAAATTTAGCTGTATTTGAGATATTGTTAACTGGTCAAGTTACATTTGAAGAGTTCAGATGCAAAAGCCTCTAAATGCCATTTGAAATTTTCTTCTTTAATGATGATTTTTATCAAACTTGTATATTTAAGTTCAGTAATTTCACTTAAATGGCTGGCTGGCAATGATAATTACCTATTAATTGTTATTTAAGTGAATTTACTGAACTTAAATATACAAGTTTGATAAAAATCATCATTAAAGATGAAAATTTCAAATGGGATTTAGAGGCTTTTGCATCTGAACTCTTCATTTGCTTACTGTATAGTCATAAAACTGATAGTTGGCATAGGTGGTAAAAAATGCATAAACATGTGAATGTTAAAAATGTTATTAGCCAAATATGTTGTGTGTGTGTTCAAGGTATTCCCTACATTTTTATCACCAATCATATTCTGATAATATAAAACTATGGATTGTGAGATTATAAAAGGGTAGACTGGGGCTAGTTTACGGTTTGTGCCATTTAAACCTTGTTTTACAGAGATATGGCCATATCATATAACCGTCATGTAAACTATGATGATTCAGACCCTCCAAAAAACTGCTTACAAACCATTTCATGACCTCGGGTCCCAGCGCTGTCAAATGTCATAACCTGGAAGCTAGAATCATTTGACATGTTACAAACGTTCTCATACATGTGGTTTAAACACTTTATGAAAATATTACAAACATTTAATAAAAAGTTATGCTTTAGAGTAGTCACAGGACTGAATTCATTACAATAACGAAATGTATACAGTGAATGTGTGACAGTAATACAGAATGAGTTATTATAATTCAGAGTGTTTGCTCCTGTGACTAAACAGGCATATGGTTCACTATTACTGGAAAAAAGGACCCCCGTGAACATGTGTCACACACAAAGACATAAATTCAGAAGTGTCCAAAAGAAAAGCAACTTTTTCCACAGACTGACACAGGAATAGAAGAGGTTCATATACTCACAATGAAGTCACAGCCATGACTCAGAACCTCAGCACGCTTCGATGTGGACTGACGAATAATACAAATGTGAAGGTCAGAGGAATGACGGGGGACATCTGTTTATCATTTGCTGAAAGTTATATGGATGTCAGCTCACCTTATTACTCAACAACAGGCTGAAACTAAAACAACATCTGGTCTGATCACAATAAACGAGCACATAGTATTAAATCAGGATGATCTGGACAAACTACTTTATTTGTTCCTGTTCATTTACAAAATATACATGGTTACCAAAATACTTCAAATATCATTATTATTATTAGTGTTTAAATAAATGCCTGTTAAGGCAGGACAACATGTAAACATATCAAAGACACTGTACAGAACCGTTACAATTACACAACCACATACAGACAAGCAGCAGCATCGCCACATACTGGCATTTCCATACATTTATTACCACCCATCAGCATCCGTTAAAGCGCATTTACAAACGATCGTGTTGGTCTGTACAACTTGCAATTCTCTCGACAACTAAAAAAAGACTTTAAATAGAAGATAAATGGAACAGAAGAGAGAACTGGAGTGGAAATGTACAGCATGGACATAAAATAGAGATAAAATGACATTCAAGATTCATTGATAAAGTGAACCGCTTCATTTCGTAAGAAGGTCCATTTAGAAAAAAAAAAAGCATAGCACTATTTTACAGTCCATGTACATACTATGTACTTATTGGAGTAGTAATAACCCTGAACACACTCCTAAACCTATAACCTTAACCCATGAGGTTATCTGTACACTTTAAGTACATTGAAAGTGCACATACTGTAAAATATGACCAAAAACTGGGCTTTCCAAGCGTTATTTGCTACAATTTCAAATCATAAGTAACAGTTATATTTTAGAAGAGAACATACATTAGTCTTCAAAATCAACACACAAACACACACACACACACACACAAAAAAGAAAATCAGTTAGGTTGCAGATTTGGACAATGCATGCGACGTCTACTGGAACAAAATTGTGATAGCATAAAATCTACAACTGGTTTCTATCACTCAACATGCAGAATCTACTGGCACGGACATGCAAAAGCACAATTTGTACATATTACATCATTTACAGCTGCTGAGTGGAAGTTTGTGAATTTAGTTCGGACTCGTTTTGATGTAAAATAATAAAAAATTCCATTTCATCAAACTAACAAACTATCCAATGCAGGGCAGGACAAATAGCAAGTTTATTTCAAAGACAAGTCACTGTGTAGCATGCACTCTTATAGAAAGTCAGCTGACCATTGATACTGTACATTGAACATTCAGTTTTGCTACCACTGAGTTCTGAGTCTATCAACGGGGTTGCAGAAAACGGCACTGGAATGACCTTGGGATACTGTAAATATTCCCAAACACTGAGACTCGGTGTCTTAAAACCACACTACAAAGACAACTGCCACAACGCTAGTCAACCGTCTAAGTCTACTATTGTTTAGTCACGTTGATACTCTGTGCTGTTAGCAAAAAGACAACCTGTGTGTACACCAGAAACGATTATAGTAATAGATGCAGTAATAGATTCTGTTCATAACAATAGTACCTCAAGGCTCTTACCCAGAATCTTTCATTTAGTGGCAGAAATATCAATCTTCCTACAGGAGGGTACTTTTATAATCGCCCGCATCCACACAAAGACCTCAAAATTGTGACTTCTGATGTAAAAAGCTACATTTAAGTACGTATTTGTCTCTTTAGTTAAACATACATTATTTAAGACACGTTTCTTATCATCGTAACTTTGTTTTTGGTGAAAGGCAGTATGGAAGTTTCCGATTATAGGGTTTTTATTAGCTAGATAATTCATTCATGCTATGGATTTATGCTACAGATTGAATTACATTGTAAGAAACAACTATGTCTTGATTTTCTATAAGAGATTATGACTGTAGTTCTCAACTGGTTTTCACATTACACATTAAGTGGCCATCAAACATGCTATTGAAATACTTAAAAATATGTCAAACGTTAAAAAGTATTAATAGCATGTACTGCATAGGCCCAACAATATGCAAAATGACTATGTGACTACAACAGAACTTTTTAAAAGTCTTATTTTGCTTTTTTATATATATATTTTGCTACATTATTTTAACTGTAGGACTGTTTTTCCCTGCTGACACTTTGAAAGTACCTGCGACTTATTTCTGGGTCCCAACAGGCCAATTGAGAGCCACTTGTTTTGTACTTTCTGTAATAACCTTCCAACGCTGTACTTTGCCTCAGTTTCTTTGGAGAGAATATATGACAGCTGTGTTTTGCATTGCTAACATGCAAAAAAAAAAGAGAGAGAGAGAGAGCAAAGAACCTCAGATGAAGTCATCAATGCGACATCAGTGGAGTTACAGTAGATATGTGCTTGTTAATTACACTCATCTCGGAGTTCTTTTAGTGTCAATTTAGTGATTAGTCAAGCCTTGTATAAAAATATCTATCACTCTTTAGCATCATTTATCAATCTACACTCACACAATTAATCTATACATTTCATGTGTTGGAATAAACAATTCAGATACAAAAATATCTGTGGAAAGTTGAAAATAAGTATGTTTACTTGTTGGAATAACCTTAACTCACCTGGAATCTCACTATTTTTTTTCACCAAAATGAATGTAAAAATGAGCATATAGATAAGCTGTACAGAGTTTTTGAGTTATAAACATGCATGAAAGTGAAAGAAGTTCCCAGTTATTGAATCTAAACACAAACTTTTACAAATGGGAAGATCCAGGAAGATTAAATAAATACTGCATGCTTCTACATAACCAAAAAGCAATGAAGCACAACGCAATATGCTGCATCCAAAGCGTTGTTGATGAAGGATGCATCCTCTTCAGTCCCCAAGAGATAGCCAACAAAGAGGTAAATTGTGCAAATGTTCTATCTAAAAGTGATAAGGCAAATTGTTTCGAGAGGACCTTTGCAATTGTCCATTAAGGAAAGAAAACAACTTGTGAAATGGAAAGCGGGGAGCTAGACCAATCAGAAGCTCCTCCATTCTGACCTTTTAAATACCCACGGCATGGCGTCAGTGTCTGTAGCACTACTGGTCGAAACGGATATGACTGTCTACAAAAGCAGAGCAAAGCAGTTGAGGCGGCGAACAACCAGCATCACAATACACATCAAAAAGCATCAAGTTGTGTTCCCGTATGACCCAGGTGAGTAATGGTTTTCAGGTCACACTGGTGGTTAAATGTAGTCGGGGTGATAGAGTTGTGTACCATGGGCAGAGTGAGATGATGAGGTCACGTCCTGTCCAGCCCTCAGGCAAGAGCTCTGGTGAAACTGGGAATGAGTAGAACTGCTGCTGCTGCCACAGCAACAAGCATCACCAGGTTCCAGTCTCCCTCGTTATCCTGAGGTCAATGAGAAGAAAATCATGACATCAGATGGTAAAAGTCAAGAGAGGTCATATTTAAATCATTTTTGTCCAACTATTCTTCTTTACTATTAATTATTGTTCTTTAATAGTATTATAATTGTAGTAGAGAATTCTGATTTTGGCCATTTAACAGTTATTGACCAATGACCATACATTTTGATATTTTATTGACATAATTTTGATTTGATATTATTTAGATTTGATATATATATATATATATATATATATATATATTAGGGCTATCAAATGATTAATCGCTTCCAAAATAAAAGTTTGTGTTGTGGGTGCACTGCATATATATATATATGAAGAGTTCAGATGCAAAAGCCTCTAAATGCCATTTGAAATTTTCTTCTAAAATGATCATTTTTATCAAGCTTATATATTCAAGTTCAGTAATTTCACTTAAATGACAATTAATAGGTAATCCTCATTGCAATTTAACTGACATTACTGAACTTAAATACAAGCTTGATAAAAATGATCATTCTAGAAGAAAATTTCAAATGGCACTTAGAGGCTTTTGCATCTGAACTCTTCATATATACAGTATATATATATATATATATATATATATATATATATATATATATATATATATATATATATGTAAACTTTTATTTTGGATGTGATTAATCGTGATTAATCGTTTGACAGCACTAATATATACAATTAAATATATATACATAACAATTCAAAATTATATATTTTAAAATGAATATTATACATTTTGTATTTTTTACATACACATTATATAAAATTAGAAAATATATAAAATTATATTACAATTTCATAATATATAGAAATTATATATTTTGTCCAAGTAAAAAAAAAATTATATTGCCTAATAAACAATATGTGCATCTCTAATTTTGTAAAAGTTAACTTTTATAAACACATTTAAAATTAAATCACAATTCAAATCCTTCTCTTCCAACTTTCTTTAACTTTAAAATCCATATATTTTTTCTAACAAACAGGCAAACTTTGGGTGTTCTAGACATTTTTCATCTAGGCGTTCACCAAAAGCGAAACACTCACCAATGTCGTTGAAACTGCACAAAAACCAGAGCCGGAACACAATTTTTCTCTGGCTAGAATTCAGACTAAGGCCTCAGATCTGATCTGGTTTTAATGAACCTTCTGAGGACTTGTTGTTTATTCCTAGTCATCTTCTGTTATAGTGCTGGATATGAGAGCTAAATATACCCATCCAGAAATGTGGAAAGATACAAAGCCAAGAGCAATGACCCAGTAAATACTCCAATCACTGTCACACACACGTTCTCTTTTACATCCCCTATTACTCTCTCTCCATCTGGCGTTGTGAAATTGGCAGACATGACTGTCCAGTGGAATCAAGGAACTGTGTAAGTGTGTGTGCGTGTTGATTCGGTCGGTCCTGCTGGGCCGCAGAACTGTTGAAATCAGAGGTGTGTCATGCGTTTGGCTGGGATATTAGCGCCCGGGAATCTCAGTGGATGCCTGAATATGACCAAAAATGGTGCCAAAAATCCTGACTGAAAAACATAAGAAATGTAGTATGATGCAAAAACGTGTCTCTACTACAAAAGCACACTCATTTGGCAATATTCTAAGAATCAGGTCAATTTCCTTTGGGTGCAGGACGTTTTTATGCATTTTTCTATATACAGGATTCATTTTGCTCAAAGTACTGATCCATTTTTAACGTACTCCATCCTAAAGAGAGTTTTAAATGTGTTTATGGAGGTGGGAACCTGTTTTCAGTGAATCAATCAAAAATAAATATCATCTTCTGTTAACTTTTTGCTCTACAAGTCTACAAACGTGTTTAACAAACATTAGCCTAACCCTAACTTTGTTGAGAAATAAGTTTTGTCCTGCAAAGTTGAGATTTACATGTCCATTTAAACACAAGTTGTCCTTTCAGACTAGTTAAATGGAAAACTACGGTTGTGAAACAATGTGCACATCCATAAAAGGCCCTCGTAAAAAGAATAAGGCACTGTGTCCAATGGGCAAACAGGCTAGTTTAACATGAGCATTCATTAGGGCTTATAAAAAGTGATATTTTGACCAGGATAAAGATGAGTTTCACAGTACAGGAGGGACAAAAAGGCTCGTCTCTGCACTCTTAGAGAAAGAAAAGGCAAAGCCATACCTTTCCCCCTTTAGGACAAGAGCTCCTTCCAGCAGCACCATATCAGGCCCATTATTACAACCATTCCTATGAAGGGTATGGAGAGAATAGGGCACTCAGACGAAGGAGTGGAGCTCTGAGGAAAAACACAGGGGGTGCAGGGATGGAGAGGAGGAGAAGAGGAGGAAGAGGTGGTGAGAGAAACAAAAGAAAAAAAATGACACACTCAAAATAAAGAAAATGATTACACATGGGAGGTTTGTGCACATGTGACATTACATGGAAATAAAACATGGAGGACAATAAAATAAAAGTAATATAGAGAGAAAGAATGAAAAGTGTGAGGATGAAAGGGAGAAAACAACCAGATAGATAGATAGATAGATAGATAGATAGATAGATAGATAGATAGATAGATAGATAGATAGATAGATAGATAGATAGATAGATAGATAGATAGATAGATAGATAGATAGATAGATAGATAGATAGATAGATAGATAGATAGATAGATAGATAGATAGATAGATAGATAGATAGATAGATAGATAGATAGATAGATAGATAGATAGATAGATAGATAGATAGATAGATAGATAGATAGATAGATAGATAGATAGATAGATAGATAGATAGATAGATAGATAGATAGATAGATAGATAGATAGATAGATAGATAGATAGATAGATAGATAGATAGATAGATAGATAGATAGATAGATAGATAGATAGATAGATAGATAGATAGATAGATAGATAGATGCCAGCAGTTTATCGGGAACCATCAAATTTGTTTGGAATTTGATATAGTGCAGTGTGTGTTGTGAGTATATGGGTGTTTATGGTATGTTTATGTAGGCGGTCAGTGGTCAGAAAGCAACAGAGCGAAGCAATGAAGGACCACGGGGGAGCAGGGAGACAGGAAAATACACCGAGATTAGATACACAGCAAAGATGGTTAAACACAAAATGGAAACCTCGTGCTCGTTTTGACCCTCCGGCTGATGAACACAGACAGAGCCAAGGTCGCCATCTTGGCATTTAAAGATCCTTGCCCACACTGCACAGCCAGCCCACTCTATTAAACCAAAGTACCGGGATAAATCTGTCAACAGCATCTGAGATATGTTGTTGAACACCATGGGGAAAAAAAAATGTGGATTCATCCTTCGGCTTGTAAAGACAAGTTGGGAGAAAGTGTTGTACTTTCCCCCCATATTCTTACATTGTAAGTGTTTTTGCAAAGGGAAGGTCAGCTCATAAAAGAGAATGCAAAACAATACAAAAAAAGAGAAAGGTGTAGGACTATGTTTACCCTTTTAGAGGGATTGGACCACTCATACCATAAAGCATCACAAATGCTAATCAAATCATTATACGTAAATATAAAACAGATTTTTTTTTTTTACCGAAACCAAGTGTAATGGCACATTATGAACAGCTGCACTACTTCCTGAACTTCTGCCATTATTGGACATCCTTGATTAATTCAGGTGTGCCTGATTATTGTTGTTGCGAATACTGAGGTCAGACACACCTGGATTAATCAGTTTGTCCAATAATGGCAGACAGGAAACAAGGAGCTGGCTGAAGTTCAGGAAGTAGTTGGGTAACTAGACTCGGTATGCTGTTTAGGGTGTTGTGATCAATCACAAGATGCTTCTCAGTTGTTCAGCTGGACAAATTTGACATATTATTAGTCTAGCATCATTTTTGTCACGGTGAAGTGAGTTCACACTGCTGACGTGAAAAAATATATACGCTAACACATTTAAACTGCATTATCATAGAAGCGTTTACTGTTCCAGAGGTATTTTTGGATATTTTCAGCTGCTGAAATTTCCGTGCGTCATATAAAACAATTGACTTTTGTACAACAGCATTGCAAAATATCAAAAATGTTCAACTCAATTACTGTAAGTCATTCAAAATGCTTTATGGGTAGTGGGTGTGGTTTCAGAGATTTTTCTGAATGATTAAACTAAATTCTTCTGAAACCTGTGATTTTCTGTGATATTCGCTCACATGTGACAGATTCTGTTGACAGATCTCCATTCGAAGGCGGCAGAACAGTGTGAGTGAGGGGTTAACCACATAATTAAAGTACAACCATGGAGGACGGATGATTGACATGGGACACGGTACTCAGACTGGACAGACTCTTTGATAGGAAAAAAAAAAACGTAATTAATTAGGATTTCTGTGGCTTGGATTTTACGACTTTGTTGTTAGACAGTACAGGGGTTAGAAAGACCTCTATGTCAGTGCACATTGTACACACACAAAAGCTAACAAAACTAGCAAAACACATTAGCTGCTAGAGGTTTGACAAACACAAGATGTGAAAACACACGCAGCCCAGAATCAATGTGCGTGACAGGGCAAAAAGCAACCCAAAGTGAAACATTCACACTCGACCAAAAATGGCAGAGTGGTTTAGTTAGACAGGATGCGCTTTGAAAGACAGGTGCTGCTATTGGACAGATGGTCACTTCAGGGGTGGGTGACCCCACATGCAAAACGTTAGTCATGTACAGAGCATTTTCAAACGCTGACAAACATGTAGATCGATGGAGTCATGGTGTCATTCTGTTGACAATATCTCGGCCTACGGGCTGTGTGAGTAATGTCTGTTTGTTTTCAGCATGTGTACAGTACAGTGATTTATTTGAGGTCACATTCTTTCCCCCAGGAAGTCCACACATTCCAGAACCTTTGGGAGGAAAGTAGTGTGTTTTGACTGATGCCTCTTTATGACCCCTCACCTGAGCCTTCCTCCCAGCCAGCCGATCAAGCTCCGCCCTACAGCGCTGTAGCTCCGCCTCTAGCTCCGCCCTCTCCCTCTGGCTGCCCTCGTACAGCCCCTGCAGTTCCACAAGCTCTCCTTTAATTCCCTCACACTGAAAGATGAAAGGGATATAGAGAAAAGAAGTGAATAGATTCAGAGTTTTAGCTTGTTTTTAAACCTTTGTTTAATCGTTTCACTATTCAATGGAGGACAGACGAATCAAATTTTCTGGTCACGCTGTCAGGATATATTCAGCAATATTTCCTGCAAGGTCATGCTGTTGAACCACTGAAAGTAAAATAACAAATTAATAGCACAAAAGATGGATTTATTTTCAACCTGACATCACTAAATTTACCCCATTCTGAAAATACGGAAAATAGTTTTAATAGTATTTGTTAGTTTAAAAAAAAGATATATTTTTTTTATATTAGATATTATATATACTGTGTATGTGTGTTAGTGTGTGTGTAGTATATAAATTGAACATATAATGTCTCTTTTTAGACCAGGCTCTTTCTTGAGAAAATTCTTGATTTTATCCACCAGCAATGTGAAAATAGACAGGTGGTTATTTTGAAAATCATTGACTAAAAATTATACAGTAAGGTTTAAAATAGAAAGTGCACACTCTAAAGGCTGATTTATATGGAAGCATATGGGTAGCAATATTCAATTTGAAATGTAATATGCAAAATGACAATGCAATATGTAAAATGGCATTGCATTCTGTATTTAAATTTACATTTTACATTACCATTCTAGCAACGTTTGGTGCAAAATGAAAAGGAAAATACATAATTTACATTTTCCATTTCATACACTAGTTTTAATATGCATATTGAAACGCTTTATAAGTGGCAAAATTAAAATGGAAATGCATTACAGAAATGATTAGAAATGTGTAACATGTTCAAGCAAAAACTGTGGCAAAATGATCATTTAAATGTTATTTTTCTTAATTGCATTTACACTCACACAGTCAAGACACTTGCTCATATGCTGCCATAGATTTATACTTCAACGTCGGACCTTTGCCGGAGCCTCTACTCTATAGACTACCCGTTGGTTTTCATTTATACTTCTGTGTCGATGTCCGCATTGACATGCAATTACACATGCAGAGGGAGCATGTGAAAGCCTGGGTGCGGTTCCAATCACAGCGCTTGCGATACACGTAAAATTGACGCATTGTTACATTTTTGGAGAGGTGCACGTTAGGGTAGCTATGGCGTGAGTTCGGCGCAGAAGTATAAATTGGGCGTAAAGTTCAAGTTTCTGTTATTTTGCCTATAAGTGGGCACTGTACCTCTCTCTGGACCTGTGATGCTCTCTCCTCGGCCTGTTTCAGCTGGTCTCGGAGGGAAAACACCTCTGAGAAGCCTCCGCTCCTGCCTGTCGGGGTGGCGGACTTCCCCTCAAACGAGATGTTCTTCTGGGTATAAGCGTCCACCCAGTTCCCAACTTCTACCTCCAATGTGCTGACAAATCCCTCAGCCTTCACTTCCTTTTCTGTGTCATTTTCTCCATCGTTCTGCTCTGCTTTCAGGGCCAGGCATGAATCAGCTGAGCTGTCAGGATAGATATAAGACAAGGAAATGTTCAGGACATTTATTATAGATAGATGTACAAGCGGAGGTGCATTTTTTTAAATATTTTTTTTTTTCATTCCTAATGTACTTGTGAGCTCCTGCAGCACTTTTTCATATTAGCTTCATATTGTGACTGAGTGTGAATGTGTGTACTCATACTCATCATCAAATCCGTTTCATAATTATTTATTCAAAATTATAATACATTACTTAGAACATTAGAAAAATGTGTGGTGCTGAAATGTGTGCGTTTGTCCAGATTTGTCCAGAACTCAAATCAGACAACTTATGATAGTTTTCAAATGTTTATAATCAGCTGCTCTCACATAGTTTCAAAAACATGATAGTATATTTACAGAAGCATTAGTTTCATAAAGTCAGATAATATCTTGATGTCTTAAAATAGCTGTGCCTCATCTAACGGCGGGTATAGTTGGATTAGATGAAATGCACAGCCATTAATGCTTCATGTTGCTGTGAAACACTTTCATAGCTGCTAAATAGTTTTAGTGAGAGTGTCCATTGAGACAGATTATGGCTGAATGCTTCATCGGTCACAGCAGCCTTATTAACAGAGACCGTTCGCGATGCTCACTGGCTGATTTATCTTGTTTGCGTGTGACTGACAGGCCCTGTGGCCAATCACCTGGCTCGCTGCTGCTCCAGCATCTCCAGTTTCTCAGAAAGCTGCTTGTTGCCATTCTTCAGAGTCTGACACTCGTCCTTCAAGGAGCAACACTCCTCAATCAGTTGGTCCATGTCACCTGTCCCATTACAACACGAGAAGAGAACAGATGTCAAAGCAGAATGGGGTGAAACACTGAATACAGAATGTTAGCATACTACTATTTCTGCAATTATAAATGTATATCCAAAATGAAATACTACAATACTACTTATTGCAGTATGCAGAAAAATATGTTTTCTATTTGAATGTATTTGAAAATGTTGTTTCTTTCTGTGATGGCAAAGCTGAATTTTCAGCATTCTTCAATGTCACATGATCCTTCAGAAATCATGTTGATTTGGAGGACAAGTAGCTTTGTTATTATCATTATAAATGTTGAAAGAAGTTAATATTTTTGTGGAAACCATGTTTTTTTCTAAGGCTTTACAGTCACTATTGATAAATTGAATGTGTCCTTGCTGAATAAATGCATTAATTTATGGAAAACTGACCCCAAACATTCAAATGGTAGAGTACATAATGATAACCACTTCAAACTATTATTTTCTAAAATCCATTGTTGTCACATGACCTTCGTTAAATAGCTACTAAAGTGAGTGGTCATCATATATATTTCATCATTTTTTTTTTTTTTTTTTTAAGTATACATTTTTAGTAGTACAATCAAATTGTGACTCAAGAAGGAGATTGATAATGCTTCTGTTTAAAATGTAAAAAAATGGGTGCATTGCATTGTGGGATACAGTATTCCATGCAGTGTTCTCTGCTTGCAAACTAAACATTTAAATATATATATATATATATATATATATATATATATATATATATTTAAATGTTTAGTTTGCAAGCAGTTTAAATATATATATATATATATATATATATATATATAGTATGACACTTGGAACATACACACTCACTATCCTAAGGGCCAAACTGCAAGTAATACAAAGGCTACATGCTATGGCAGGACAATATTGAACAGTTGACCAGACAGCTGTAAATGCACACTGAACCCTGTAACTAGTCTCCATGGAAACAACCAATTCCACCCTGTCTTCCCTCTGCAGCAGTCTGACCTGTCAATCAAGAGTCATGTTTGCCTTGCACATCCCCCATGGTGCAATGTTCAACCCCCGATAGCCTAGTCTCTAATCTAGAAGGAATCTCACTTGTAAAAACAACTCACACGCATCTGCACTCTGTCTCTGCCAGGCCTGAGTGTGTACGTGGTGTAAATAACCATCAGAAGAGCATGTACTGATAAACAACTTCGCCTCAGCTGCATCTGACCCCAGATCAGAGTTAACATGAACGCCTCGATCACAGGCTTTGATGTGTTCGTGTTCAACACTGTTTTGCGATCAGCGTGTCTAACCCCACGGCACGTCCCCACCAGCAATAGCTGGTATGTTGTTTTTATTTCAGATCTTAATATAGTAAACATCTAACAGCATCATGGGAGCTGAAGGCAGCCCCGGCGCCCTTAGAGGCAGAGAAAGACATCAACACCAGACAAATGGGGCTCAGCGAAGCTCCTGCACTCTGTCAGAATGTCAAACAGACACTTAGACCCTGAAAGAACCTGTAATACAATCACATTTGTCAGTGGCAATGCATACTGGGTAATATCAGAGCACGGTGTCATATCAGGCAATGGGGAAGAAAGTTGATAAAATATGTCTGTATCACACAACAGGGTTTATTTGCTATCAGCATCTGTCATTAATGCTGCAATGAGGTGATCTGATATAAAGAAAAGTCTCAGCTGGCTAATGCACAAAAACACAGATGAGGTCTGGAAAAAGTGACTCCGTAGAGTTGTGAGAACAGAAGATTTAACTTTGCATGTCTGACTTCTAATATGTTTATACTGAGATATGCTAATGATATAAGCTTGCTTAGTATCACCTAATCTTCTAATAAACATTTTTGCATTTTAACATATTAATTAAGGTATTATTTATTATGTTCAAGCCCAGTGTTATTTTAGTATTATATATAAAATAGTCTAGTTTTATTCATATTTTGAATTTGCTTTTGTTTTTATATTTTCAGTTTTTATGTGTTTTTATATTTTCAGTTTTTATGTGTTTTTATATTTTCATTTTTTATATGTTTTATATATATATATATATATTATTTTTATTTTCTACATCGATTTAATTAATTAAACAATTAATTAAATCGATGTAGAAAAAAATACAAATAATATATATATATATATATATATATAAAACATATAAAAAATGAAAATATAAAAACACATAAAAACTGAAAATATAAAAACAAAAGCAAATTCAAAATATGAATAAAACTAGAATATTTTATATATAATACTCAAATATATATATATATATATATATATATATTATTTTTTTTCTACATCGATTTAATTAATTGTTTAATTAGTTTTAGTTTTTTACTGCAATTTAACTTCAAGGCAACGTTTCTAATTTTCATTCACAGTAAATATTCTAAGTTTTTCATCTATCATTTATATTTTATTTCAGCTTTATTTAATCTTTATTTTTTTGTATTTTAGCTTTACTTCATAATTTATTTCTACATAGTTTTATTTTATTTTTCAGTTATTTTTCAGTATTTTAGTTTTATTTTACTACTACAAATTCAAGGCAGCATTTCTATTTTTCATCACGAGTGCGAGACAACCTGCCACAATCACACAATCCAACAATCCAATCAGTTGACTGAATAAAGTACCGCCTACATTTTTTCTTGTTTGAGAAGTCAATAGTGAAGGAAAGTTTATCACAACTTTCGTTTCATGCTGACTTTAACAGAATATCCTTTAACAGAATATCCAACCAGTTGCATCAGAAAGCTCATGATGGCTAACAAGGCTTCACTAGTTAATTTTGTTGGCAAACAGCATGGCCAGCACCAAACCAGCACTAACCAGTATCAACTGGTATAAACTGGTCTTTTTAGAGATATCCCTATATAGTTTGAGCCGTTAGTGTGGTGGGAATCAGACCTTCTCCTCCTGTTCTGCGCTGGTTCTTCATGCTGATTTCGGCCCGCAGCGTGGTCAGCTCCAGCTCGTACTCCTGCGTTGTGGCTCGCAGACGCTCCAACTCGGCACGCACACGGCACAGTTCCTCCTGGAGCAGAGCGATGTCATTCTCCCGCTCGGCTGCCGCCTCCTCCGCCGCCTGCTGAAGCTCCTGCACTTCCTCCTGCGCCACACGCAGCTCCTCTTGAGCCTCCCACAGCTCGCTGGCCTTCTCCTCCTCAAGGCTGTCCAGCTCCTCCTGCACCGAGCGCAGCTGCCCTGTGGGTCACAAGTCGGGACAGAACAACATTTTTCAACTGAAAATTGGGTTATATAAAGTACATTGCCCTTTATGCTGCTTACTATTTTTTTTAAATAGTATGTGAAACAGAATGCTGTTTGCTTAAAGAGTGCTACATTGTTGTCACATGGCATCCCCACATTGAATGTTTATTTCAGCATGTGGTGACCAGTTATTATCTTGGAAATAAATCAAAATGTAATATATATATGAACCTCTTAAGGGCACCAAGACCATGTGAGGTCTAATCAGCTACTTCACTGGAAACCAAGCACATCTGAAGTGAAAAATATGTCTCATCATTACAGCAATCACTCTGCAGTAGCATAAATGTCAAAACCTCTCAAACTAACCACATAAAGCATGGATTTAAGTCTGCAGGGGCTTTTTTAAACAACTATCTCTTTCTTGCAAGGCGGGGATGCGGATAGTAAAAAAAAAAAAATACAGGCTGTGATTAAACCGAAAACACTGTTTCTCCGTTATACAGTGTGTGAATCTGGTTCTGGCAGATGTTTGTTGTGTTATTCATATCCGTGATTGCATTACTTATGATGGTATCTTGGCATAGCCCATGCACTTCTGCAAATGCTGGTTTAGTTTGCCTCCTCACAGTTCATTTAATTTAATTACAGCGCAGCCACTGAGTGAGTGAAAGTGAGTCACTGGGGAAGAGAACAACATTTACATCACCTCTGCTTCTCCCATCTCTCCACTGCTCAAACACTCGCAACCCAAGTGGCGGTCGACCAAACAAATGAGAACAGGTTGGCATGGGAACATGGGAACATTTTAAACAGTAGTATTCTACACTGTCAAATTTAGAGTGACGTGTCCAATTATCATTTCTGCAACACAAAAATATTAAATAAAAGAATAAATGACACAAATGAAATAAGATGACATTATCAAAATTAAAATAGGTAAATGAAATAAGATTTCAAGATTAAAAATTACACAATAAATAAAAAATTGGAAAAATAAAATAAAATAAAATAATCAAAGTTTCCAAGTAAACCATGATCATGTCAATTGATTTCAGACCATGAAAGGTCAAGTCAAGCACATTGCATTGTGGTATAAAGTGTCTATTGTGACTTGTGACTAATGTTAGTTGGGTATTTAATGCATACAAACAATATGCAGGTTATACATAGGCAAAAAATAGTAAGAGTAATTTATTTCCAAACATTGCCAATGTTTTTTCTATTTTTAACACAGTACAAAAATATGAATATGTAAATCTTCAGTGGTCTTGATAAAATGATAAAACAGCTAGATAAATCAAGAATGTTTACACAGCTATGATTCAATATGTCAAATGAAATAAAATATTAAAGTTGCTTGATGACTGAAAAAAAAAATGTTTTTATTATCTGAAGTTAGATTTATAATAGATCATATTCTAAGTTAGATTTATTTCGAAGATTTACTTGCAGTTATTTGTACTGCATTTAAGATGAATACACATTTTTTTCTGTTTCTAAGTGCGTTTCTGTTCACCTTGAAGTCTCTGGATCTGTCTCGTGAAGGTCTCGGCCTGGTGGGCGCTGGCCAGCCGCTCTTCCTCCAAAAGACCTAGAAAGCCAAAGAAAGACATTAAAAGAAGAGAAAAATCTCAAGCTGGACATGGAAAATGAGTAATTAGTAACTTACTACTGGCATCTGACAATATTAACAAGCCAATAATGTGTGTGAAGACATGACTCGAGAAACAAGATGTCAATGATAGCTAAACATGGTCAGCGGGTACTCCCGGTGATGATGTGATGTCACACCTTAAAAAACTGCTATTATTAGCATACGCACCCTGCAGCTCGTTGTAGCTCTCCTCGTGTCGTTGGGACACCTCTCTGGTCTCCTCCAGCTCCAAAAGCAGCTGCACCACCTGTGACCTCAGCACCTCTAGCTCATCTTCCTCATCCACTCCTCTTCGTTCCTCTGGGTCCCCCTCCTCCACGTTCACCATCTCCTTTTTCTCCGGCTCATCCTCCTGCCCCTTCTCTCCATTTCCGGCCTCCACCTCCACCAGGTCTCTCTCCTCATTCTCCTCCAGTGACCCTCGCTCTTTGGCCGTCATTTCACTGCCTATACCCGGCCGATCCACTTTCAAGTCACACACATCGTCTGAGACAGAAAAAAAAACAATGATAAATTAATCAGTTGATCGTATGTAATACTTGATTCTAAAAGGTCATTCTAAATTGTATTCAACAGTCATATATACTGTATATTTGACTGTTGAATCACAATTACAAAGTCTTTACAATGCACTTACAATGGAAGTGAATGGGGCCAATTTTTTAAGGATATAAATGCAAAAATGTGAAGCTTTTAATATTACAAAAGTACTTGTAATATTAAAAGTACCATGAATACATTTGTTAAAATTTATATTTCAGCTGTAAAGCTGTTTAAATACATTTTTACAACCATTTTGGATTTTTTTTCTGTGTTACATTGTCATGGCAACAAATTTGTAAAATTAAGTTTAACTTTATAGGAAAAAAGACTAGTCAGTGCTTTTTTTTCTCACTTAATATACACAGAGTGTTTACGTCTTGTGTCAATACTTTTAAAAACGTGTATTTAAAACATTAACAGACTTCCATTGGAAGATCCTCAATCAATGTGCCCCAGAACTTGTTGTAATCACCATTATGCCAGAAATGATGTTGATTGATAATCTACAATAATCCAAAACCTCTCTGCGCTAAAAATGATTTCCTCATCCAGTAAAATGAAATTTAAAAGCTCTCTTGATGCCATACCCACATTCTCTGTGTGGAAAGGAGATTTGCAGCTATGCATGTGCCAGACCCCCACCCCCAATCTCCACCTGTCATCTCCACCTTCATCTGCGGAAGGCCTTCATCACCTGCTGGCCGCCGACTCTCATCTCTCTCTGCCCCCAACAGACCTCCAGACCCCCCTCAAGCAATCTAAACACCCAACAGGGCCAAGAGTGCCTCAGCACTAGAGGAATGTGTGCTATATTAAGGATTTAGGGCATGAATTGTCCCTCTGCCTTCACCTGTTGTCTGTTCACAAACACAAAACACACACATAGTCCTGAGAAGAAAGTGTAGGAGAGCCAAAGAGCCCTCTAGTGGCAGGACTGGGTATAGAAGGAAAGAAAGAAAGAAAGAAAGAAAGAAAGAAAGAAAGAAAGAAAGAAGAAAGAAAGAAAGAAAGAAAGAAAGAAAGAAAGAAAGAAAGAAAGAAAGAAAAAGAAAGAAAGAAAGAAAGAAAGAAAGAAAGAAAGAAAGAAAGAAAGAAAGAAAGAAATATTTTCTATATTTTTTAAGTTTATCAAAAGTACAAAATATTTATATTTAATAAATTCGTCAAAGAATCCTGAAAAGAGTATCACAATTTCCACAAAAATATTAAGCAGCACAACTGTTTTCAACATTGAAAATAATCATGAATGTTTCTTGCGCAGGAAATAATAATATTAGAATGGTTTCTGGAGGATCATCTGACACTGAACACTGGAGTAATTATGAAAATGAAGCTTTAACATCACAGGAATAAAATACATTTTAAATATATTCACATAGAAAAGTTGTTCCGTGATGTTACTGATTTTACTGTATTTTTGATTAAATAAATGCAGCCTTAATTGGTGAGCGTAAGAGACTATATATATATATATTAACAATTAACGATTTTAAGTTAATATAGACATTAACCCTTTGCAACAAACACAGTGAATAAAAGAACATCCGCATGTAAAGTGAGCAACAGATCTCCTGCTGCCGCTCTCCTCTCTAGTCTGTGCTAATCACCCACCAAACTGAGGAGCCAGATGGTTAAAAATAACCCATTTCAACAACGTCCTTCTGTCCTCCTCTTCTCTCTCTTTCTTCTCTTCCATTTCTCACACACTCATTTAGGATCCTCCCTTGCTTTTCTACCCATTCACATCACCTTTAATCATTCGCGTTATCCCGTCTCTCTTAATCTATAACTCTAGCCTTACTCTAGGTTTCTCTCACTTGCCCTCTGACCTCTGAACTCAGAGAACCAGACCATTGGCAGGGCAATTACACACATAATCTCTCTTACAATCTCACTCTTGAGTTCTATTTAAAGACACAAGGGCTGTGTGTGTGAGGATATATGACTTATTTGGCACTGTTGATGACTTGAACAAAACATTAATCACATGTCCTGAAATTAAGATTTGACATGATGACATATTATATTTAATATGTAATCTATATATATATATATATATATATATATATGTATGTATGTATTATAAAATGCGTATATACCCTCAAATGCATTTTGGTATGATATGTGATGTGTGGATTTGACAAACTCAGAACAATCAGAAGTCCACACACAGGACACGGGGGACAGTCGGCCACGCCAGACCTGACTAGACGATTCATCTCTCTGATCCTCTTAGATCAGATGTCTGTGTGGGATTAACGGAATCTGTCGGTGCGGAAAATGAATTGTCTTGCCAGCAACTCCTCCCCCTCCATTCCTCAGACTTTCTTTCTCCCATTCACTCCCTCTTTCTCTTTTCCTCTGGTTGCTTTTCTCTCATTTCCCTCTCTCTTCCTGAATGATATTTATCTCACAGTAATGAGCCCTGTGCTGTATTATTGATCATGCTTTGCAGGTTAAGGTTTTTTAAACATCTATCAAATAATAATGAACCAGTGAGGAAACACACACACACACACACACACACACACAAACACACACAGGCTGAAGCAGCAGAACAAGCTCACAGGATTACAGGCAGCTTTGATAGCACCAAATCAGCTTTATCCAGTGTATCTAAGCTATGAATTATTCTGTGGGGACAGAAAATATATTTTTTACATGCACACAGACATCCGGATACATCACTCGATACAGTAGGTAACACAAATCGCAATCATGAAGCATCCCCTTAGGACGGATATAGTTACACAACAGTAGCTTCTGTGGTTTTCGAAATAACTAGTACAAAGTAGAGCAGTCTATGATCTTTCATACAGAACTTCTAGTTAAAATGAAATGATCTCTCTCATATATATATATATATATATATATATATATATCTATCGCTGAAAGCGATCAGCAATCAAGTTCTATCGATGAAGTTGGAATATGGTCATAAAACAAAATTATACAAATTAAAAATATATAAAAATTATTTAAAATGATAAAAACAAGTGATATTGTGTACCTTGGCTTTATAATACTTATATTATAATTATTTTTAAATTATATTGATATTGTATAAATTAGAATACATTGACACTGCATACTGCATCGCAAAAGTACATTCAACTCCATACTAAATTGCACAATCTAACACTAAGAATGCAAAACACATGTGGACTGAACTTTCCCTTGTAACAACATCATGCTCCATATGTGCAGTGCCTGACTGAACAGAGGCCTCACTACCTGTTGAGCTCAAATTCTTGTGATTTTCACTTGTGTATAATGATTCCTAATGGGAAAAGCCCAAGAATAGGCCTCTTTGTTCTAACAGAGATAGTTAGAATAGTTTGGGTCCCACTATATATTAAGTGGCTTTAAGTACTATGTACTTACATTAAAATGAATAATTTGATACAATGGACTTATTGTGTACATGCATGTTTTTACATTGTACTTATATTTAAAAAATACCAGCATGTAATTACAGCTGTAACTAATTTATGTAATTACATCTGTAATTACACAGCCCATCCCTTATACTTAAACCTACCCTTAAACCTACCCATACCACCAAACCTGCCCCTAACCTTACCCATATCACACCTCAATAGCAACATGAGCACAATAAGTAGGCTACATTGTACTTATTTTTCAATGTAAGTACATAAAGCCACCTAATATAAAGTGGGACCATAGTTTGAGTGAATGTGAGAGTCCCGTTCCTTAATTTTTGTCATTTTGCTGATTATAATTGCATGATGCTTTCTGCCTTTGCAATAAATAAATGAGAAATGACATTAAAATGAGATTCTGAGATCACAACATTCACTTACAAAACACCAGACACGATTAATTTGAAAATGAGCACTTGGTGCTTTGGAGATAACAATCAAAACTAAAACAATTTCATTTCAGACCATGACCGAAGGCCATAATAAATCTTAATATCATGAGTGGCATTAAATGTTGACGTGCGGAGTCCCATCACCATCGTGACAAACACAAATATAGCTCTCGTCTAGTTCTCATGAGCTCAGAGACTTCATTTCATTCCAATCACAAGCGTAGCTTCCGGATCAGCCTGTGGCACTCGCAGAAATCCAGTGTAATTATTCTTATTTGATGTTGATGATGTTTGATTGATGCGGTTTTCTAAACAAAAACAACATCAATCAAAAACTATATATTATTCATTCTATTCACTTTTATTCTTTTTATTGTTGTTTTTTCACACACAAGTATTATGTTATCTCCTTTATACTGAAATATCAATCACATTGTCAATACTGTCAACAGCCAATCAGAGTGGTATGATCTCAATGAGGGAGGGGCAACTAACTATACGCATAACTGTTTATAAAAAACATGGGGGTCAAAGCTATACAGCAGGGGTCATATAAAATAAATAAAATGAAAAAATAAAAATTAATAATACAATATGGCCGTGTTTATCAATAATTATTATTTTAATGCTTTTTCATCAAAAAAGCAGCATGTAAATACATTATTATAGTATCATGTGCATGTTATCATAGACCCGGTTTACAATGCAACACTCAATTTTATTTTATATGCATAACAGGGGATCACCACTGCATCTCCACAGCCTAAAAAAAGCCTATTTATTATACACTAACATTTCACAAACACTTTCAGTGCATGATCAGTCCGTGTCTGGCTAAAATCCAGATGGTGACATCAGTTTCCTGTTTATAGCGCGGCTTTCACTCTCAATGCTGGACCAGGGTAACACTACACTGACCTTAACCTTAAAACAAATACATCCTTTTCAGCCTTTTAGTCTCAAGCTATCCATCAAATCCTAAAATAATATTTAAATGATTAATGTAATGCAGTCTGTCGCCATCATATGAGCCACAATGAAAATCAGAGTCTAAACATCATTAATAAGCTCAGCACAGCTCTGAGAAGAGGAAAGATGATGGACACGG